GCTGGGGTTAGCTTGCAGGCTTACCACAACTGTGACTGAGACAAGTGCACAGTGCAGGAAAGAGGTACGGACAGAACTGGTAAATAAACTAATGGTAGGAAGATCTTGAGTTCAAGCTTTAATTCAGAATCTGATACTTACTCTAGTCCTCACAAGGGCCACCCATTACAGATGTGCACCACCACGCCCGGCTTGGAATCCACATATTTAAACACATCTGAGACAGGTTCATGGGGCCCTGCCCTGTCCTGGTCCTGACCTCCTCAGTGCTCTCTGATGGAACACCCACAGCTAGTATCACCTCTAAGGTGCCCAGGCCTTTTCAAGCTCATTCTAGAGGTCAGTGACAAGTGCCAGGAGCTAGCTCTGTCCTCACAAATCTCTAGAAGGGATCGGAGGGGACTATAGTAGATCTATTCCAGCTGTCTCCAACTTCAGGTGAAACTCTCCGAGGGGCTTCTGCTCTGCACTATAGTCCAGGGCTCTCATCCTAGGGAGGATAACTCTCATTCAGGGTACAATCATCAGGACTCCTTCTCTTTCTCTTTGCCAAAGCAATAAGAGGCCACACCTTCAAGGGCCAAGAAAGAGATCCCAAGAGATGGAGGTTCCCTTTGCCAGCCCTAGGGAGTAGGTCTATCCTGGGTTTCCTGGGAAGATTTATGGGACTGTAGCTGTTACTTGGTTTCAAGGAGGACAGAAGGGGACTGAATTTAAGCCTGGAACCAGGAAGCTGAGTGTGGGATAGTGGGGGTTTGGAGTTTTGCTGCTAGAAACCATGGTGTCCGTTAGGATTTGCACCATGAACAACTGCGCAAAAACTGTCCTGGAAGTTACTTTTTTCTTTTGAGAAGGTCCCTCTGTCTTTTTTTTTTTTTTTTAGTTTTTCTCCGGTACCAGGAACCGAACTCACGACCTTGTGCTTGCCAGGCAGGCGCTTTGCCGCTGAGCTAAATCCCCAGCACCCGGTCCCTCTTTCTTAATGAACCCTCCTTATATACCTCTCCAGGGAACCCAAACTTTCCCACAAGGTGTAAGCATTAGTCTCACGGGTCACAAATGTATCCCACAGTCACTACAAACTCTTAGGGGATCTGAGGAAGTTAGTATGTTTGGACAATGCCCCAAACAAAAGTGGAAATGGACATTGGGAAGGCAACCAGCTGTGTCTGTCCCACTGAGTGCTTCTAAGGCCAAAAGGTATTAGAAACCAGGCATGGTGACACGTGCTTGTTCCTATTATAGACAGCTAAGTTAGGTAGAAATACTATAGGCAATCAGACTGAGGTAGGCCTTCGAGGGAGTCAGTGCAAAGGATGAGAACACATTGCAACTATGGCAGAAGGCAAATCCGTTGAGAGCCAGGCCTCAAGATAAAGGCAGAATGACCAAGCCTATATGTCTCCCTAAGGAATAAACAATGTACTATAATTGTTATCACCTGTTCCAATAAAGTCTAGATAGACATCAGTCACCCAAGTGGATGATCAGGACCTCCTAACTCATCTCTTTCAAAAAAGGTCCATGTTCTTTCCATGTACTTTTGTTATATGACTTGTTTCCCCATTGGATCAGCATTACCTAAGCAGCTGTACTTGTAATCTTCTTGGTTGATCATAGTTTTGTCCTATGTTGTACCCACCTCAAAATTTTGTACCCACAACTTGATTTTGCTCTATGAAACTTCCTCTGGAAAGTGGGGTCCATGGCAAGGCAACCCACTTGGGCCCCCTCCTGTCTCTCTAGAGCTGTCTCTCCCTCAATAAAATTTCCTACTATAAACCTCTGTTGTTCCTTAGAATTCATTCTTCAGTTTTTGGGGAACACAACCTCGGCATATCTGACATCTAGCAGGATGGGAGTTATATTTCCTTTGTATCATTTAGAGTCCCACAATATTTCCAATACTTTGGGAGGCCCAGACAAGAGGGTTGCAAGTTGGAGCTCAGCTTGGATAATTTAGCGAGACCCTGTCTTTTGTGTGAATGTGAGCACACGCACACGCCTGCACGTGTGTCTTGAGACAGTCTTGCTATGTAGTCTAGGCTGGCCCTGAATTTGAGGTAATTCTCCTGCCTCATTCTCCCAAGTGCTGGGATTACAGGCATGCACCACTATGCCCAACAGTGCTGTTCTAAAATAAAAAATAAAAAAGGACTGGGGATATACATCAGTGTGAGGACTGGGGATTAGGCTTAATTCCCAGTACAGAAAAAAAAAGCATTAGATCAAACATTGTCTGCAACTAGCCCTACTTTTGGACTTTTTCAGTTATCTGAGCCAATAAATTATTCTTTTTGTTGTTGTTGTTGTTTTTGTTTTTCCTTTTTCTTCAGGTACCAGGAATTGAACTCATGACCTTGAGCTTGCCAGGCAGGTGCTTTGCCACTGAGCTAAATCCCTAGCCCCCGCCAATAAATTATTCTTATAAGACAGTATAAATCAAGCTTTTGGTTCATTGCAACCAATGTCATCTCACTGGTTCTGCTTTCTTAACAGTTCTCTCCCTTGAATGGAGGACTAACAATGGGTCTATGAATAGTCTAAAACATCTTCTTTAAATCAAATGGTAGGAAACAAAGCCTCAGAATATCCTTAATGGAGCTGGTCGTGGTGGCACATGCCTGTAATCCCAGCACTCAGGAGACTGAGGCAGGAGGATCATTGTAAGTTCGAGACCAGCCTGGGCTACAAAGTAAGCTCAAGGCCAGCCTGAACTGCATAGTGAGATCCTGTCTCAAAAAGACAAAAAAAAAAAAAAAAAAAATCCCTAATGACAAGGCAAAGGGCACCTCCCTTTGAGGAGGGAGCTCTTTAATATACCCTACATCATAAACTCTAAGGGGTCACTTTTGTTAGACATCTCATTATTCTATGATCCTCTAATTAGAGAAAAAGAAGAAAATGTTCTTCATTAAGGTGCAACACAACAAAATGATTCTTCCTTCCTTCCTTCCTGCCTTCCCTCCTTCCTATCTTTGCAGTGCTAGGGATTGAACCCAGGGTGTACAAATCTTAAAAGTATGGATTAAAGAAAATTTGCACTGTGTACCCAACATTCCCTTGGGACAAAGTGACAGCAGCACTCTGGAGATAAGTATATGCAGGAGGAAAAAGAAGAGGAGGGGTGGGATTCATTCACACCTATCTTCACGTGTGGTCTCTGGCAGACAGCATACACCTTCTCCCCTTTCTCCTCCCTGGAGTCCGGCCCCAGCCTCACCAGGTTGGCTCTGCACCTGAGTTCTCTCAAATCCTCAAACCAGAACACATCGATATTTTTGAAGGTCATTTTGCCAAGAAAATAGGAAGTAAGGTCACAGATCTTTTGCAGAAGGGTAGAGGACCAAGAAATCGAGGGGGGAGTGGAGGGAAGGGAAGAGTATAAAGAACTAAGATGTGTTATGTACATGTTCCAACTCCCCATGAGCAATGTGATCATTATGTACTACAAACATGTACTAATAAAAAATAAAAATTGAAACAAACATTAGGCTGGTTCCTGACCAGTGAAATCACCCACCTTGTTTATGATCATTTACTGAGGAAACAGGCAGGCTCTAATGGGGTTCTTTTATAGACTACCGAAAACAGGCAACTGTTTACCAAGAAGGAAAGTTAGAAGGAAAGATAAGTGCTGAGTGGACTCAGTTGGTGCCCAGAGTTCCCACCTCAACTCCTCAGAGTATCTTTCCAATCCACATGCAACTCTTGCTCCCCATCTCTTCAGCCAGAATCGCTGGAGATGGGGCCAGGACATAAGGATTTGGGGAAAGTGCCTCACATGCAGTAACATATATGAGGCCCTTTCCTGAGCTCCAAGTGACTCAGTCAAGATGCAAGCTCAACTGGGGGTCTGATCTTCACCCTGTGTCACTCTAGAGAAAAGAAAGTTTTGAAGTGGGCCTGAGGTATGGCCTCCGGAAGTATGTATCCAGGTGCCAGAGAGGCCTCAACACTAGGTCTGTTTTGGGAAAGGGTCACTAAACTGTCACTACCATTCTTAGGCAGATAAAGGATCTATCTCTTTGCTAGACTGTCTTAAGGGGAGGTTTGCCTGATTCTTCAGTGTCATCCCCTACACAAACCCAGGCAGTAATTAGTGACCTTCTGAGCTCCAAAGATTGTTACTCTGAGCCAAGCTTGGGAGAGCTTGATGGAAGCCTGATCTTGTGGATACCAGTGCTTGTCTGTGGAAGAAGCTTGCCATAGGCCCACCCTCTGCAGAGTGCCTCCTCACCATGAAGCCTGCACACAAATACAGTTGTTGACTCCAGGAAAATGCTGGCAGATGGCAACTTGCTTGGAGGATCTCCTCAAGTATCTTCCTGGTCCAAAGAGCCCGTGTGGAACTGGACTGCAAGCCCAATAACTCTTTCATCCTCTTCCTCTGCTTTGGGCCAGCCTAGTTCAGATCCTGGGGCTCTAAGCTGATTCAGCCTGCATCCCTGTCTAGATGGACACATGTGTAATAAAAAGACCTCCAGAGGGGTGAGGAAAGGCAGGGACAAGTGGGGACCTATATATCCTTCCCTGTCCAAAAATGGGTAGTTCTCATCGCAGACTTGTGCTGATAATACCAGGCATGGGCAGAGGCCTGACAACACAGGGCGGAAAGAGCATCCATTAACACTAATGAGGCAGGCGGCCTGAAAGCTTTTTACTCTGAAGCTGCTTGCCCACCAACGGAACAGTGCGTTCTACTTTCTTGGTTTCCAGGAACCTGAGGTGTAGAAGGAGCTGGGGGCCAGGAGTAGGGGTGGGGGTCTTAGGGGAGCCAGAAGAGAAAAGAGAGGGGAAGCAGGACAAGGGATACAACCAGGAGAACTTATTTTTGACTGGGTGAGCATCTTCCCCACTCCTCTTTCTCCAAAGAAATCCTACAACAGTCACTGACCCACCACCCCCTTCAATGTCCTTGACCCAAGTTCCTGGAAACAAAGAAAACAACATCCCACATAGCGCCTGAATGAGCATCTCCGGAGCAAGAAATTAAATTAAGCTCTCAGGGCCGCTTGCCTTGTTATTGCTAATGGCTCCATCCTGGTCCACACTCTGAGTTTGGGTCCTGAGTTTGGGAAATTTAGGGGCCCTACAACCCAAACTCTAATTGGCTGCTTGAGTCCTCGTTGCAGATTGGAGATAAGCAGCCCTCTAGTAGAGCACCCAAAGGTTCAGGCTCCAGGGAATGAGGCCTGAACTGTGCCCCCACCGTCCAGGGAGGGCCCCCATGTATGACTGCAGGGAGCAATCACGTGTGGGTCTCTCATTAGACCCTACCATATAAGTGGGGGCACAGGTGGCCAGCACTCTCTAGGCAAGGACCAGCAAGCAGAGGTAAGTCCTTGGGTTGGGCAGGGACTCCTACTCTGGGTGGGGGGCACTCTCTTTGGGCACCTAGAGGGTACTGCAAGGATGAGGAGGGCCTAAATGGTGGGTTTTCCTGCTGAACCAGGCCATGCTGACTACAATGCTGCTGAGTTGTGCCTTACTGCTGGCATTGCCTGCAACACAGGGGGCCCAGATGGGCTTGCCCCCCTTGGAGGGCATCAGAAGGCCTGACCAGGTCCTGTTGCCAGAGTTCCCAGGTCAGTATGGGCAGGGGTACGGTTGGGTAGGGTCTGGACACTCACTGGCTACAAACTTGCCTGCCTGGTATAAGCCCTCCTTACCCGCTTCACAATCTACTCCTGAGAGGTGGGTACTTTGTGCACGGAGGGTCCTGTCCTCACATCCTCTGACCCAGGCCTAGGCCTGCATGTTTCGCTGAAGAGGACAACTGCAGAACAAGCAGAAGAGGCTCTGCTGCAGAAGGCAGAAGCTTTGGCAGAGGTAACTGCTCAGGGAAAGGGGTGAGGTGCCCCGCAGGGGGCATTTAGTACCATCCCCTCTTCCCACCTCCAGACTCCCTTATCAGGCGAGGCGGGGAGGGGGCTCACTGCAGACCTCATTCCACTGCCATTCTACACAGATTGAAAATTAGATCCCAGAACTTGCCTTTGGAGGCCCGTGCCCACCTTCCTGCTCCCCTGCCAATGCAGGTGCTAGACCCGCAGAACCGCGAGCCCCGCACCCTACGCCGCTGTGTAAGGCTGCACGAGTCCTGCCTGGGGCAGCAGGTACCGTGCTGCGACCCGTGTGCCACCTGCTACTGCCGCTTCTTCAACGCTTTCTGCTACTGCCGCAAGCTGGGTACTGGTACGAACCCCTGCAGCCGCACCTAACCGGCCGACATCTGGACAGAAACGGGGGACACGAATAAAGGATGGAATCAATCCAAAGGTTGTGGTTTTTTCGAACGTGGGGGTCAAAGGGGACTGGATTTATGGAAGACGTAGGGGGTGTCACCAACCCGAGAAATCACACACACCCTTACCCAAGGCCTGCTATCCGTCATCTGAGCCAGATATACGCGCGGTTTTAGGGCCCCAGGGACCTTTGGGGGAAGCAGAAGAAAGTCGCACTCCAGCCCTGGAGAATCTCGTGCAACAATGCAGTGAAAGCCGGACGCAGTAAGGCACCCGGGCTGTTAGCAAATAAGCATTAGGTTCCAGGGCCTGCTGGCAGCTAATTGTGAACTCCAGTAAAGTCCGCTCCTCACCTTATCTCAGTTCCCCTTTAGGAAGAGTCTGGCTCAGCGGTGTGGAACCTTTGCAAGCATAAGAAGCCCTCCCGGTTCCACCTTTACTTCGCAGACCTTGCAGTGCTAGGGGCACCTAACCCGGGAAAGCAAGAGGGCTCCCATCTAATTCTGCAGTCAATGGCGACCCCACGCGGTAGCCCTCGGACGTCCAACTAGCTCTACAAACGGGGGAGCCGGAGCTTCGCCTTCCCTCAGCGCGCAGGCGCCATGGGCGGTCTGCAGCTCACACATGCGTAAAGCTTGCGCCGGAAACCACCCGGAAGCCGGAAGCGGCTCAGTTGCGGTCATGTGAGGCACTTGTGCGTCACCTGACGCACTTGACAGCCAGTTGCGGACGCCGCGTCAGCTGATTTTGGAGTTGCGTTGCGTGCCGGCCGGTTGGGGCTCTCCGGTCCTGCCGCCCCTGCAGCCCCTGCCGCAGCCATGTCGTTCTTCCCGGAGCTATACTTCAACGTAGACAATGGCTACTTGGAGGGACTGGTGCGCGGGCTCAAGGCCGGGGTGCTCAGCCAGGCCGACTACCTCAACCTGGTGCAGTGCGAAACGCTAGAGGGTGAGCCGCGGGCCGGGGCTGAGGGGCCATGAATGACCAGTATATGGAGCCTGCCCCGGGCCAGGAGTCCCGAAGCAGGGGCGTGGTGGTCTTAAAGGGCCTCAGAGGCCTCACTGGCAAAGCGGGAGCTGAGGGTGGGAGTGCGAGAAGGGGATCTACCTAGAGCTACGGCTCGGCGCCTGACCCGACAGAAACAAGGCTAGAACCGCAATGGTTCGTTCTTGGACTGCCTTTTTCCCCGCCGTGCTCGTCAAGTAATTTGGAAGGAGAGTGTCTCTCGGGAGTGGTTGTGGCCGGTATATAAAGGGTGCCCAGACAAGCCTCTTTACCCAGACGTAGCCAGAGCTGTACCGTGGCAACGCTTAGGGAAGCTAAGCGGAAAACCCCCCACCCCCCATTTTGTCTTCTCCTTGACCAGAGGACTGAGCATTCCTGGGAAACTGCAGAGCCCCATTTGCGAGGGTTTCCTCCCAAACGGAACCGCTGGCTGGGTGGATTTCCTAAGGAGTCTGGGAGAGCCAGGGGGTGGCTGTTCGTGCACAAGTACGTGGCTAAAATTCAACTCCTCAGCCAGCGGGGGGAGGGGGCGCTGCTCTTGGAACTGGGATTCTTTCACAAGAGTAACAAGGAGCCGAGTTCCTTTTTCTTCCCAGCACACAGCTCCAAAGTGACATTGACACCCTCAGGCACAGCTGCAGACTGAGTTAGAGATGTCCCTGTTTCTAGACTTTCCGCTAGGGTGAGGTTCCCATCGCTGATCCCTAAATGATACCTCTGAGCCAAGTGCTTATTACTAGAGAGGAAGGTAGCCAGATGGTTTACTGTGGGGAAAAAAATATATTTTTTAGAGTACCGGTAATCGAACTCAGGACCTTGCGCTTGTCAGGCAGGCACTGTGCTACTGAGCTGTATCCCTGGTCTAGAGAAAATTTTTTCATCAAAAACTTTAGAGTTTAAGTCTCGGTGGTGCTGCCCTGTAATCTCAGCTACTCAGGAGGCTGAGGCAGGAGCGTGGCAGGTTGGAGACCGGGATGGGGGGATTTAGGAAGACAGTCTCAAAATAAAAAAGGGCTAAGGTTGTAGTGCAGTGGTAGAACAATTGTCTAACATGTACAAGGCTCTGGATTCACTCCCCAGTAAAGTACAATCCTTGTAGATTTTATGATTTAAACATAAATCTGTGAGAAAAGTTGTTCACCCTTCTTCACTGGAGTTGAGGAAGGAGAAGAGAGCACTTCAGGATGCTAGGTACTTAATGTGAGTTCTGTGGACTGACTGGACCTTGAAGAACATCTTTGATAAATCTAAAGGTGAACACCACTGATGATTAACTGGCACTTGCTTGGCTTCTCTGGCTTTCCTTACTCCCTGATGCTTCCTTCCTTCCCGTAGAACTTCAAGGGGCACATGGTTCCCATCTTCTTCCATCATCCTCCATAAACATGCTAGGCCGTTCTTTCTGCACCCTTTCCCAGCACATGGACCTGGTCGTGCAAAAATGGCAGACCTTTGGCTAGGCATTCAGGGATCCCTTGCTCTTTCACACATACTCCTGTCCTTCACGCAAGCCATCCTCCAGCAGGTGGTGCACATGGTGCTGTGGGATGTTGGAGTCAGGCAAACCTGGGTTTGAATCCTAACCATGCCAATTACTGGATTATTTTAGACAAATTATTGAACACTTTCAAACCTTGTGTTCTGCATCTGGTGTATTAATAGAGTCTGCCTCATAAAGATTGTGAGGGATCAGCAAGCTACTGTATGTGAAACAGCACTGAGGAGACAGTCATCTCCAAGGATAAAGTAAGCACTCAGTGAACATGAGCTCATGTTTTCCGTATTTCACCTGCTCTTTGCTCTGTTTCCCTGTCCTTGTGAAGCACAGCCCTGTACCCCCTCATCTTAGAAACTCTCTGTGGTCATGCTAGACTGCAATGTTGTTCCCTGCGTTTTGTCAGTACTACATTCCAAGTGACATAGAACTTGGGATTATTGAGAACTTGTATTCTGAAGATGCTCAGGACTATCAAGAGGTGAGAATAACCAAAATAACCAGAAACAGACCAGCAATCTCATTTATCCTCCACAGAAAGGATTTCCCTGCATCTAAAGGTGATATCAGAGGACTGGCCTCAAGACTACTGTTACTGGGTATTTTTGCCTCCGTAAGAAGGAAAGGTGGAACCAATGAAGCCTGTGGTCCCTAGAGAGATCTTTACATGTGTGCTGGGGTGATAAGTTTTCTAGTAACATGTTTCAGGTGTTGGGGCACTTTTTAGAAGGAATACAACATTGGCCAGAGGGTGTTTGTTTGTAAGAGGCAGAATATAGGATCCTGGTCTTCCTTCAGCAGGGCAGCTGCCCACTGAGTGCTGTCTTTTGCTAGAATGATCTGTCTTAGGGTCCCTGAAGCCCATGTAACCTTAGGGTGCATTTTGCTCAGTTCTCTTTAAGACCCTAGAAAGGGCATTCCCCTCTGATGAACTAAGGGGATATAGCTTGGTGGTCACAAAGGCTCTTTACAGTGCTAATTTTTTGGATGTGTTGAATACCTTTTAGGAGCTGATTCCTGTGCTAAGAATTTGGGGGAAGAGGAGGTGAGTTGAGATGTATGAAGAAAAATCATAGAGTATTACATTAATTTACCTATTTTATGCCAATAGGGACTGAAATATTTGGGTTTTTGTTTGTTTTTGAGACAGGTTCTTGCTATGAAGTCTAGGCTGGCCTTGAACTTGCTAAGTAACTCAGGCTAGTTTAAACTCTTGGTGATCCTCCAGCCTCAGTCTCCCTAGTGCTGGAATTATAGGTGTGCATACCTGGCTGAGATACTTTGTTGAATGATATTCTTTCAAGTTTCATAGTCTGGGGTGGATATTAGCAGGACAGGGGAAGACACTAATAGATCAGTGTAATACAGTAGTAGTTACAAATGTGGGCTTGCTTCCTCATGGCCCTGTGGCTGTAAGTGAGGTATGTAACCTCTGAGGCCAAACTTTTCATTATTTTCCAAGTGATGCTAATAATAGAATTTACCTTGTGGGATGGTTACCATAGTTAAATAAGATGTTGCACATAAAGTGCTACATCAGTCCATTTTCTGTTGCCAGTAACACAATATCTCAGATTGAGTGAGATACATAGATAGGAAGTTTATATTAGGTCGTGGTTCTGATGATAGTGTTCTTGTTGCTAGAGCCCTGAGGTGGTGATGGGCATTACATGGCAAGAGACAGGGAGCATGGGTATATGTATACATGCATATATATGTGTACATACATATATGCCCATGTATATATCTCTATAGATACGTATTTGTTTTTCGGTTTCTCCTTTTTGTTGTTTTTTGAGACAAGGTTTTATTGTATTGTTCAGGCTACCCCCTCAACTCACTGTGTAGCCCTGACAGGCCTTGAACTTGTGGCAATCCTCCTGCCTCAGCCTGCCAGTGCTAGGATTACAGGCACGTGCCACTACACCAGGCTCCCTTTTCTTATAAAGGCACTAAGAGACGATCATGGGAGTTTCACCTGATTAATCTTAGTAATTTGCCAAAGACTGCACCTCTAAACCCCTTGTTCAGATTAAGTTTCCATTCTCTTAATATCTCACAATGGGGATTAAATTCAAACTCATGAAGTCTTGAGGGAGACTGAAACCATCTCCTAATCATAGTAAGTGTTTAGTGCAAACTTGGCACATAGTAAGTTTCCCAATGTGTTAGCTCCTATTATTTTTTCATCCTTTTTTTTTTCTTTTTGGTACTGGGAATTGAACTCAGGAATTTATGCTTGCCAGGCAGGCACTTATGCCACTGAGCTATATCCCCAGCCCCCACTATTGTTATTACTAAGTATAAAAATTAAATATGAAGGGCAGTATCTGTGAGATAGTAAAGAAGTTTTTATTGTTTGTTTGTTTGTTTTTGTTTTTCTCCGGTACTGGGAACCGAACTCACGACCCTGCGCTTGCCAGGCAGGCGTTTTTTGCCACTGAGCTAAATCCCCAGCCCCATAAAGAAGTTTTTAAAAAAATGTTTTTTAGTATGTACTTATTTATGGC